GCCATACGTGATACATGCTTAGGTGATCATGTATCTTTGATACATGACTGACGAGGCAGATTTTTTCCTGCAATACGTTGCCATCTCTTTCTGTGATAGACCATTTGCCATCCAGGGCTATAGAACCTGGTCTATAGCCTGCTACTTACCCATAGCTGGGGGGAGAAGAAGAGGATTCATGCCTTTCCCAAAGGTATTAGCACGTAAGTAAATGTAATCGATTCGACTAGAATTCAAACTTGGTAAGACAATATATAAAAAAAATTCAGAACTAACTATTTTAATTATGGTGTTTGAAAACAATATACTATGAATGGAGAGTTAAAACGTATTTTCTCATAATTGCTGTGGTAGAAGGATTTTGTCTTCATTGTTCTTACATTCCACTTTTCTTTTCTGCATGGAATCTAGACCACTATACTGTTTTAAAGAGTGAACTTTGTATCTTGTTTTGGAATTAGTACTTTAAATTTTCTTAGCTTCCATTTGACATTTTGCCACAGTGGGGAGTGACCTGTTGAGGCATGTAGACTTTCCACATCCCAATGTGGTTTGAGGTGGCCAGTGAATTAAGAGATATAAAGTCTTATTTTGACATATGGAACCAGGAAAAAAAAAACTAAAGAATTGTTGATTAAATTTTAATGGAGAGTGGAATAATTGCAAAAAAAAAAAAAATCTAATTAAAAACATGAAATAATTACCATAAATGTAATCAGCCTAAAGACCATGGGGAAGTTTGAATTGGTGGGTAACTAAAATAAAATTAAATCTATGTAAATCTTCAACTTATCCACTTCAACCCTACTTTTACTTAAGTGGGTTGTAATGACAAATAAATCCTGGATAATGTCATCTATGATGGAAGCCAAAGTCTTGTTTACTTTAATGCTATTCATGCCAAAACCTTTAATTTCTTAGCTATCAAACAATAGTTTTTGAACAATGAACATATTCAGAGCTAGCAAAATTTATGAGTCAATTCACTTAATACATCATCTTGTTGACATCTGTGAAAGCACATATAACCAAATATAGTGAGTTAAAGCAGTTTTTCTCACTTTCAAGGTTGGTGCTCATTAAGAGCAGCTCTTAAAAAGAAGCCATGTCACATTGTAACCATCCCTACCAATAGTCTTGTCATTTGGTTTGGTTTGGTTCACGGCATATCAACCACAAGGGTTGCTTAATGCCGACAATTTTTATTGCTGGTAATATTTTTTCCTACAAAAATAATGTATAGCTGGTAATATTTTTTTTACAAAGTATTTCTGGTATTAAACCTATTTTTAAATTTTCATGGTGTTTTGACCCCAGTTTGGGGGTTAACTGTTTGCCCATAGCTAGGACCCTAACAGGTGCTACCACTCCAGGTCAAGGTGGACCTGGGAACACCAGCAATTAAGAGGTGATTCCATGCTCCTCAAAACCTCTTGATCAGAGGTTTTGCTGTTGGATGTACTTTATTGTCTTACCCAGGACACGGATGTAGTTTACAGTCATACCCAGGATGGAATAGTCTTGTTGACAATCATGAATTAATGTGTATCACAGAGAGACTTATAACAAACACACAGACTCACTACCTGCCAAGAAAATATTGTATCACAATTCCAAGAATTACTATGCTTAGTTAAAGGTTCTGTGAGATTTCCAGTAAATTTTAAATTTAAATCCAAATCATTGCACCTTCTTGGGCTCACGTTCTCAGCTGATTTGAAGTAGAAAGACTATATTGAATCCATTGCTAGTTCAGCTGCTAGGAAAGTTAGTTCACTGTATCAGGCAAGACAATTTTTCTCTCCAGAATCTATCATACATATCTATAAGTCTTGCTTAGAATATTGCTGCCATATATGGTCTTGTGCCCCTGCTATTTACCTTGAGCTCCTTGATAAAATCCAAAGAAAAATCAGCAATATTATTGGTCCTGATCTGGCAGCTTAGCTTCATTCACTTACCCACTGCTGTAAGGTTGCTTCTATATCTTTTCTATACATACTTTCATGATAATTGTTCAGATGAGCTTTTCACTATGGTACCTATACTTTTTTTTTTTTTTAATTTAAGTGCAGTACTAGACTGGCATTGAGATCTCATCAATTTGCAGTTGAGTTGGCTAGATGTTATTGTAAATTCTATGCTAACAGTTTCTTTCCTCACACTTCTTGCTTGTGGAACTCCCTTCCAGCTCCATGCTTTCCAGACAACTTTAATCTGAAAAATTTTAAATGCAGTGTCAATTGCCATCTACTGTCCTCTTGATTACTCTTTTCTCTTCCTGCTCATTATTAATGTTTCTGTCCCTAATTCTTCCACACCTTGTGTCTTAGTGGCTTTACTGACTTGCATGGGGTGAAACCAGTTTAAAAAAATAAATAAATAAAATAAATATAGATACAATAACTAAAACTATTGTTGAGAATTTAATGTTTATTACAGCAGTTTTTCAGTTGTTTTTTTTCTTTCTTTTTTTTTTAATTGCTGAAGCCATACTGTGGCATTGGTACTGTGGCATAGTACTTGTACATCATCTAGAAAATCCTGCCAATGATGTTAGACTCTATGCTAATACCTCTAAAACTGAACTCATAGGTTTCAACCAGCAAGGCTCAATACAAACTGTCTCAGGTGAATCTATAAAATCTGTTGAGTTTTAACATATCCAGTAAGCGAAATAAATTCTATTGAAAAGGATGTGAAAATTTGCATGGCTAAAGCACGGGCCACCTTGAATAAAATGGATGTAATCTGGAAATCTGATCTACCAGACAACCTTAAGTTGAGATTGTTTTGTACTACTGTAGAGGCAGTGTTAATGTATGGTGTCTCTGCTGGACATTAACTGAAATGCTCGTGTCTATGGAACCTTCACAGGGATACTGAGAGCTATACTTAACATTTAGCGACAACATCCAACTACATCACAAATCTATGGACACATCCCAAATATTTCTTACATGAACACAGAATGCACTTTACAGGACACCTTGCCATGGAACAAGATGAGTTGGTTGCCCAGCAACCACCTACATTGACCAGCTATGTTATGACATAGAATGCTTCACTAATAATCTTCTGACCTTCATGCAGAACCATTCAAACTAATTCAACCGAATAAATTAGCCACACTGATGTCAGTTGCGGCATTTGGGAGGGGGGTATTTTTTTTTGTAAAAGGTCCGAGAGCCACTTGAGGTAGAGGGTTAGAGAGTAAGAGGTACAGTTTATGGAAATATGTGAGGAATATAATGGTTGGCCCTAGACTTCTTTTTTTAATCATTTCACCCCAAGCAAAGCAGGAATGCCGCAAGTATGCAGGGGTTACATGAAGTTAAAATGAAACAGAAGACTGAGAGTAGGTAGGATAGAGGAAAAGACAAAAGATAAATGGGATTCAAGAAGACAGAAGGTGGCAATTGATGTATTTAAATTTTTGAAGATTGTAGTTATCAGGGAAGCATGGAAACAGAAGTTAGTTCCACAGGTAGAAAGTGCAAGAAAAGAAACTGTGGCAATTGCATTCAGCTATTTCAACAGTAAAAGGGTGGGACCTAGATGCCAATCTAGTAGCACGCTTAAATTCATGTATTCAGGCACCAAAGAAAAAAGCTCAGCAGAGCAGTTGCCATGAAAATATCTTTAGAAAAGACAAAGGAAAGCCACATCATGTTCAAGAGAAAGTGACTGAAGTTGAGATTGAACAGATTAAGATTGTAGTGATTGTGGAAGCATTAAAATTTAGTCAAATTTGTGTGCAACTTTAGTTTAAAAGATTGTGTAATAAAATAAAACATTAAAAAAACTTTGTGCACAGGAGCAATTAATTCTAAAAGAGATCAACCGCATCAAAGTTAAATAATTATTACATCTATCTTGAAGGTTTACCTTTTGTCTGGTTCAAACCCCTTCCCGTCTTGAACAGGAGTAGAGGTTTATCCATTGTTTCCTGTTTAAGATTGCGTTTATGGTTCCTTCTAAAATCTGCTTCAGCTGTGTACTCCTAACATCTGTGCCTGAACTCTGAAATATTGTTAACTAACTATTTATTTGATTTTATAAATTTTTTTCTCTCCTTCACCAATAAGAGTAAGCAAGAGGTTCACCTATCGCCCAGTTCACACTCCTCCCCAGTCTTTTGAACAGGGGTAGAGATTTATTCCTTGTTTCTTGTTTAGGATTGAGTTTCTGGTTCTTTCTAAGATCTGCTTCAGCTCTGAAAAGAAAAGCTCTGTGTTCATAACACTTGTTCTTTCCTATGCTAATATAAGTCCACACAGTAATCCCCTACCTTGAATGGCTCTTGGGCCTTGTATTGACTGAACATTAGTTAAAAAAGTGACTAAAATCATTAAAAGTCAACCATTAACATACTTTGTAACTGCATTTATCTAATGACTATGAAACTAACTGCATCTGGCAGCAAGGCCTCTGATCAAAAGGTTTTGAGGAGCATGGAACCACCTCTTAATTGCTGTTGTTACCAGGTTCACCCTAACTCGGGTTAGTAGCACCTGTTAGGGTCCCAGCTATGGGCAAATAGTTAACCCCCAAACTGGTGTCAAAATACTATGAAAGTATAAAAATACATTTTTATAGTAAAAATACTGGCAATACATTTTTGTAAAAAATAAAAAAGGAAAATTACAAGCAATACATTTCTCTAAGGGGAGGAGGGAGACATTAACAGCAATACATTTTTGTAAAAAGAAAAAATATTACCAGCAATACATTTTTGTAAAAGAAATTACTAATGCTACCAAGAAAATTAAATTTTAGCATTAAATGATCCAAAAGTAGTTGATATGCCATTAAACAAACAAACAAAACAAAACAAAAACCATTAAACTATTCTAAGTAGATTTTAAGTGGTATACAAAAAACAAACAAAAAAAGCATTTCTCTTCATTTACTTTTTTAAAATTCTTTTCTTTATACTTTTTATTGTTCAATCTTCTCTCCTCTTTGTTTTCATTTACACCTCTTTCTATTCAACTTAGTATCTTTCTCTCTCTCTTTCTCTCTCTCTCTCTCTCTCATTCCATGTCAACAATCCTTCCTGCATTTCTCTTAATATTTGTTTTTCCTTTTTCAGTTCCTTCTTCTCTTCAAAATCTCTCACTCTTTTGGATTTTTCTTCCTCTGTTTTTAAATCTTTCTCCAATTCTTCTCTCATTCTCTTTCCTCAAATCAATTTCATCTTTTCTTTCTTTTCTTCAAATTCTTTTTCTTCAATCTCTACTTTTCATTATTTTCTTTCATAATTTCAAATGTGTAAACAAAAATTACAGAAAAAGTTATTACGTTCAATCAATCAATGTCAGACAGATTTACCATAAACTCTCTTGAAAAATACTTAATTCAAAAGTAAACAGATTATGGTTGTTGCTGCTGCTGCTTACTAGTGGTACCACCACCACCAGTACAAAAAAAAAAAACAGACAGTTTCAAGCACCTACACTTTATGAAAACTAGTGACTTCATAATATTTTAAAAAAATATGGTGGGAACTTTTGCACGCACTTCTAGTATAAAATGATAACCAATTCAACCAACCAGTCTAGATACCAACAGATTTAATCACTGCAAAAAAAATTTTTTTAAATCTGACAACTTATGAATATTACTTTTTCTCCAAATGAAAGAGCATGAAAAACCTACAAAAATATCTGAACCTTACTAGAGATCTGGAAAAAAGAAATTGTGAACATACAAGTGACAATTGTACCTATAATTACTGGTACATTTGGAATGGTCTTGTAAATAGATTGTAACAATGAAAAACCTGAGGGACTTAAAAAATTCAGACATCAACATTAATAAAAGCAGAAAAACATATAAAAGTGCTAGAATATTGAATTGACTTGATACTTTATCTACAATAAAATCAATAAATGCTACTAGTTTAAAAACTGTTGTTCAATTAAAGTGAAAATATATAGAAAGTGCACTAATTTCTGAGTCATACAGCATAACACCTTTCTTAAAACTATTACTATTACAATATAGGATTGTGACACTATTTAGCGGTTGCGTGAAAATTAAAAGCGAGAAATAATTAAGGCGAGAAGAAGCTATCACGAAAGACATACTGAGCGATGTTATTTTTTTTAACAAAAAAAAAGTGGTAAAGATTTTATTTTCATTTGCGAAAAAAAAAATGATTTTTTTTTTTAAGATAGGAAATTCGTAAGATCTCGGATCTGTTGGAATTAATTTATGCTATGATGCGGCGAATAAAAGATCGCAATCTGCCCATGGCAATAATGAAAATTTCAAATTGGTCAAGTGGCCTACAAAACAGAAATGCTGGAAGATAATCGTAATCAGGTCAATGATGCGACTGAGAAAAAAGATCAGTTTAGACCACCCCCAAAGAAAAAAAGAAAGGAAGGGAAAAGAGAAAGAGGGAAAGAATAAACCATTAACTATCTTTTGGAGATATCATTTGTTTTTGGAAAGAGACCAACTGTTTTATTGTCCGGGCCTGGATATGATAAAAGTTTGTTACCGAGACAGATAATTGGTGACAGTGTAATGCGAAGACGTTGAAAAAATGACCACCCATTTAAATCGCTTGATAATAAAAAAATCCGTTGATAAATTCCAGATGACATTCAGTTAAGATAGAGATTAATGACCACACTACGAGTCGTAGGGGTCTGGTGTAGGAAAAGAAAGAAAAGAAAAAAAAAAGGAAGATAATTTTTTTTTGAGCCTTTGAGCGATAATTTTAAACTGAGGCCAAGACTCAGCCACACCCACGGTGCCGAGTGTTCATTGGCTGAATGGTGGCGTGAGCAATGGGCGAAGGTAAACATATGAGAAAAGAAGGGAGGCCTGTTGACGCCCTCTGAGGGGATTGGTGTGAGATACCAATATGAGAAAGGAAGAATTTGGGAGGACGATTCCCTTAAGACCCCCTCTAAAGCAGAAAGTAATGGACTTCCAAAAAGTGATAAATTTTCCTGTCTGAAAACAAAGAAAATCCTTATTGTGGATTTAGAATTATCGAGGAACCCAAACCATGACAGGCCCACACCCAGTTTTGATTGGCGTCTATATAAACAGAGTAGACAGCAGAGAGTTTGTTTGAGTTCGACAGACAGAGCAGACGCAGAGTTAAGCTGTGAGCTCTGAGACCAGCCTCGCAGGAAGCTGACTGAAGATCCACGCATTCCAACTTCGACTTCTAACCAAGAACAATTTATTTTTGAAGAACGACTTGGACTCACACCACCAAAACAAGTTTTACGAATATCACCTGAAGATACAAAAAAAAACAGTTATTGAAAAACAACTTAAGATATTAAGACTCGCCTAACAAACGCAAAGTGTCACGAATCCATAGAAGTGGTTTGGGAGAAAGACACAGTCCTGTATTCAGCAACCAGATATAAAAATATTTGTTATTTTTTTTTAACACATTTGGACTTTTCGAGTTGTTACTTTATTTTCTTTTACCTATACTTGTGCAGTGCCACCTTTGTTCGAATTCAGCTTGCATTGCGGCCCGGCGACTGATTGATTTCGTCTACCTAAGATCAAATCACAACGTGGGTAGGTTAGACTAGAAATCAAAGCAGTTACTTCGGTAACCAGACGTTGGAGGCGAGCTGGGAACGACAAAGCTGATACCGAATCTAACCAGATTCCCATCCGAATCAGCCAAGGGTTAGAATGTCACATTTGGCGCTGCAACCAATACCAAGTCACATTGATCTTCACAGGATAGCACAGGGGTAGAGAGGCCGGGGTGATGTCACAGGATATTTAAAAACAATAGTGATAAAAAGAAAAGCAATAGGAAGATTAATGAGGTTGACTAGGTTGTATATGTAGACCCATCAGATGCCAGTAATTTAAAATTAAACGTCTGTTTCTTCAGCATTTCTGTCTGTTCATTTTCACACTAAGTAAGAATCCTTTTTGTGTACACCTAATGACCAATTAATCTTGTTTTTTCCTATATAGGAAAAAATTACCATATCATTTTTACAGCATTGAATTGACTTGATACTTAATTTAATTTTCTTGGTAGAATTAGTAATTTCTTTTACAAAAATGTATTGCTGGTAATATTTTAGAGGTTGAGAAGAGTGTTGTCCTAAGAAGTTTTGTTGCCATTGAAAAGTGTTGTCCTGAAAAGGACAGTTTTGTAGTTGTTGAAAAATATTGTCCTGAAAAGCACAGTTTATCACATATTGTTGTTGCTGGAACAGCAGTAAAAAGGTAAGCAGAAGCTGTAACATCTAAAATCACAAACTCATTTTTAAACCAATTATCTTTTTTTATACTAATGTTCACTAAATATAAGGCCCAAGAGCCAATCAAGGTAGACAGTTACTGTGTGGTGTTGTATGAGTATAATAAAAGACAAGAAGTTCAGTTCATGATGTTATGTAGTAAAGATAATGGTTAACCCTAGACTTGAAGAGGTCAAGATTGTAGTGAAATTTTTCTTGTTAAATCTTTTATATTAAAAAAAATAAGGTATTTAGTAATTCTAAAAGATGAGTAATTTTATTAAAAACTATGAGTGGGTGCTTAAAAGTTCTTGCTTCGATCTACTTCCCAAATTCTGACAGACAGATTTTTTTTAAATCTTGGTTGAGCTTAGAAATTTTCAGCAATTCCTTTTTTCAGGTGTGGTTGATTTTGCTAATAACTTGATATTATTTTTGCCAATTTATTACTTAATCCTTAATTATTTTGGTTTACAGCCATATCATGTTGAAACACCAGTGCATTCACTGAAGTTAAGCAATGTTGGGTGAAGAGTGACTGCTTAGGAATACCTGGTGTTGTAAGCATGGATATGCAGGTGGTGTAATGGATAATGGTTCGGAATTGTTAATTGGCAAGCCAAGTTCCTATTTCAATTGGGTTCATTATATTCACTTATATGCAAATACTCATGGAAAAGGTATGAATCCATCTGTTTTCCCCCAGCTATTTGTCTCATTATTTAAAAAAAAAATTCTTACAATCAAAAAAAGATTTCTGGCTTTAAATAACCTGCAAATGGTTGATAAGCCATAGAAAAAGATTTGAATCAAATCAAACCAAAAAGGCCCATGATGCCTCTTCTTTTAATGTAAAGGTAGGGGACTACCTCAGAGATGGATCTACAGGAAGTAAGCTTATATTTCTTGATACCTGGTTATAATTGACCAGAGAGTTGCTATAAATGTCAAGGAAGTTGAATGCTGTTTAGATGAATGCATTATAAATCTTACAAGTATGTGATTTATCTAGATTTCTATTCATTTTTTAAGCTTTTTTTTTAAAAACTTAATTTGCTAAATGCAAGCTATAGATTTTACTGGTCATTTCAGCCAGACCGACCAGTTTTGTAACATACCAAGTGAAAACTAAATTGCAATCCATTTTATTTGGCAAGCTGTTATTCTGGTTGTCAGTACCAACAATTGTTGTCTTCCATCATTTGCACCTCTTTTTATTCAGTAACATCTCATATCGATGAACGAACGGACACGATTGAATATGTCCCTCCGAGTTTTAAGATGTTTATTTGTCTCTCTGTTGTTTCAGTCCTTAAGAGGTAAGCAATGCATCTTGTTAAAGTCTTCTCTCAAAGATATTTGTAAATACACGTATCAACCAAGGTAACCTTTGCACATAACTTATATTTTGCTTGAGTCTAGCAAGATTTTTTCCTTAAGATATTGTGTTATTTTAATGCAACCATGTAGAGTTTGAAATATAAAAAAGTCTACTAACTGAAGAATTAATGCATTACTATTACAATGTATAGACTTTCCCAGTGTTGTAACATAGCTTCCCCATTATTTTCTATAAATACTTTCATGATACCTGTTCTGATGAACTTTCCTCTATGTAATTTTCTCTATTGTAATTTTCATTAGGGCTTCTTTTTTAAAATGTTGTTATTTTTATCCCCACCAACCCCAGACAAATTGTACATATGGGGACTAGTTACGACTACATGGGGTTAGTAATCATGGCTAGTTAACTGTCTCTTTTGGATTTGAAGTATAAGTGTCCTTTTTGTTTCTATTTTCTCTAAAACTTTGTCATTGTTCAGTTCATGGTATTCTCAGCATCCTTCTGTACAACCACACTTGTGTTGCCTGAAGTCTCTTCTTCATCCGTGAAGAGATTGTCCAGCATTCACTGCCATATAGGTAGACTGATATTACATAACATACATTTTTTTTTTTGTTTCTAATGAAATTTTCTTGTTTCTTAATATTTTGTTTAGTTTTTTTTGAAGGCATCT